ATTGTTTTCCCCTCTACACTCTTCTAATTCTGTTTCTCTTTGGTTGTCCTAGGTTGCAATTATGAAGCGGTTGCGACATCCAAATATTGTACTTTTTATGGGTGCTGTCATTCAGCCACCAAATTTGTCCATAGTTACTGAATATTTATCGAGGTCTTAGAAATATTTTCCCGTCCAATTAACAGAAAACATTACGCTATTCCCAATTTAGCTGAGCGATTCCCATGTTATCATGTATTTCAGAGGTAGCTTATATAGACTTCTTCATAGACCTGGTGCGAGAGAGTTGTTAGATGAAAGACGTCGGATGTGTATGGCTTACGATGTGGTATGGATAAATGTGTCCTACTCCCTCCTCTCTCATTTTATTTTTTCAATTGGGGCTAATCTCTTACTATGGTCTTGTGCAGGCAAATGGGATGAATTATCTTCACAAACGCAATCCTCCCATTGTTCACCGAGATTTAAAATCTCCAAATCTGCTAGTGGACAAAAAATATACAGTGAAGGTGAGAGTAAGAATTTCTTTAGCAAACATAAAGGTGCAATCCTTTTTGTCATGATTAATATATTGTCGGACTAGGCTGTCAGAGTAATCAAATCTGAAGGAAGTATTATTTTGGATAGGGTATTTTTTTCATTAACTTCCTCAGATATTTTCCGGAGGGTCAAGAGAGAAACATAGAGAAGTTTTATAGTTTCACAATCTTCCTAACCTAATCAAACTTGCTAAAACACATAAAGCAAGTGGTGAACCAGCAAGTATTATCAGATTTCTCAGATGATGGAGAGCTAACATTGCAATCCCATGAAATGGGCTAATTTCCAGCAAGAGAGGATATATGTTGAAGCTTCTATTTACAGGGAAAATCATTTGTGCATAATTTTACATTTTGGAAGCTTGGTCCAAAATCTCTCTTTGCGATCTTCTAGACATATACCTTCTATAGAGTGGTTTTTCAGCTGTCATGTAGCAGTAGTGCTGCATTCAGTCTACCTTACATGTCATAAACACGTGGATCCAGTGATTCAAGAAATTTAGGAGTCACTGTGAGGATGGATTTATGTCTAGTTAAGATTATGGTTTTTCTACTCATGTTTTTCCTTAAAATAACTTGTCCTCCTTTTCGACCTCCTGGTGAATTAGTTTCTTTTAAACTGGAAATATTAGCATAGATGTGTCTCCTCTCACTCCGGGAATATGTGTCTGGTCTTATTCCTTTTAATCAACTTGGACCATCGAGGAAAAGACTAATTTCTTGATCATTCAATTTGACTTTTCAAACCCAACCAAAAAAGATTTTAAAAAAAATATCAAAAGGTCTTGAGGTCTGATTGAGAATTTGCTTGAAAAAGAGGAGGCATTTTGAATGCCTGTGATTTTTAAGGAGGTTCTGTCCTCCATAGCTCAGCAGTATGCACAATGCATTACCTGTACTTTTAGTTAACATTATAATTTATTCTCAAGTTCTGAACAAACTTGGTAGTCCTACTCAAAGTTAGCTAGCGAATATGATTTTGTTGCTTTAATGAATGTATTATTACTTATTTTCGTTTATGGAAATTTTTATGAAGCTATTATTTCTCTTANTTATAATTTATTCTTAAGTTCTGAACAAACTTGGTAGTCCTACTCAAAGTTAGCTAGCGAATATGATTTTGTTGCTTTAATGAATTTATTATTACTTATTTTCGTTTATGGAAGTTTTTATGAAGCTATTATTTCTCTTTATCAGTAAAAGATTCTAAATGTTCTCACTTGTCTAATGTCCTCATCAGGTCTGTGATTTTGGTCTTTCTCGTTTCAAAGCTAATACATTTCTTTCATCAAAGACTGCTGCCGGAACTGTAAGTTCTTGATTCAAGCTCTGGTGCCTTTAGTGTTCTGTTGGTCTTTTGGCTCGTTTCTTGGTAACTAAATAAGGAAAAAAAATGATTTGGTGCTTGTTGTGACAGCCGGAATGGATGGCACCTGAAGTTCTTCGTGATGAACCATCAAATGAGAAATCTGATGTATACAGCTTTGGTGTCATTTTATGGGAGTTGGCAACACTACAACAACCATGGAGTAATTTGAATGCACCACAGGTTTGTGTTGGTTATTTTAGGTGTAAATGGTGATCTAAACAATTGAATGTAGAGGGTAACAGCTAATATATCAACTGAAAGGACCTAAAGCTATCTATTGGGATGCGAAAATGAGTTGGTCCCATATGGTTCTTCTGCCATGAACTAGGGCACCACAAGTCGGGATCCCCTCTTCCAGGAATGTCATTTCAATTTCCTTACGTCATCTACCTCTCCTCTTCATGTGGTTAATGTAGAAAGCAATGCATTCATGGGCCCTTGAATGGGAAAGTTCTGGGGATGCTACTTTCCACTTCTCTCTAGGTTTTGTTTTGCTTATTGTGGTCTTCTAATAGTTCATATTTTGAGAAGAGAAAAGAAAAGAAAAAGTTCCTACTTTGTGTAACATTTGTGTACAGTTTGTCAAGATTATAGTTAAGTAGAGAACTAAAAGTTGTGGTAAGTTGATGACTAGCGTAACAGTAGTTTAATTATGATGAATCATCTAAATATTGTATTTGTTAATGCGGGTGAGGTAAAGAAGTTAGTCGACCACATTGACTCGTGGACGTGGTGCTAGATAGGAAAAGGTTGTCGCATGTTAGAGGATGGGGACAAAGAAGCTAATTCAAGAGAGTAAGATTCGAATAGTTATTTGGAATAGACTTGTTGATGGGAAAGCAAATAGAATTAGTAGATACCATAAAGAGGAGGACAATAGATATGCCCCCAGGCTTAGTTCAAGTGACCTAGAATGTAGGTCACAGGTTCGAGCCATGCGCCATGTGAACTAAGGGTTTCGGAGCCTCCGGGTAGTCCTAATGGTTGATTTCTCGGTCATCATGATTGTTGAAACTGTTTCCCTGTGATATCATACATTCTAGTTTCTGCTACAAGTTTGATTTTTGAAAGATAAGATAAGAGGGGACCATCTGTCGAGCCTCATGAATATTGAACTGTTTTTTTTTTTTTTTTTATACCGTACATGGCGTAGAATGTGCTATAATGAATCTGATTTTGTAGGTTGTAGCAGCTGTCGGCTTTAGGGGGAAGAGGCTTGACATTCCAAGTGACTTGAATCCTCAAGTGGCGACTATTATTGAGGCCTGCTGGGCTAAGTGCGTTGCTTGTACTCGTCCCCAAGTTCATGCCTTTTAGTTTCGTGATTGTTTTAATATTATCTAAAGTTAGTTTTGATAATGTTGTAGTGAGCCGTGGAAACGCCCCTCCTTTTCCACTATCATGGATATGCTGAGACCAAATCTTAAATCTCCTCTCACACCTCAATCAGGTCATACAGACATACAGTTGCTCACGTGAATGTGTGTGATAATTTTTGTGGTTTCTGCACATAATTTGCATTTGTTGCTAGTCAATGTTTCTGGGAGGAAGAATGCTTGGATTATGTCAGGTTTGTCTATCTCGAGATTTGTTTCGTCGTTCTACTGAATTTTAAAGCTATTGCCCTTGGTATATCCACATTTTAGTCCAAGTCTAGGTAAGTTTGACACTAGGTGAGCTGACAGTAGTAGTTGAGCTGTTTGGTAGAATGGTTGGAATAACTTCTCCCCGTGACACACTTTCTTGGGTTTAGTGATGCTTTGGAAACTGCTGGAGCATCTGAACTTCTTTTTGGTGGATTTGAGAAGGTATTACTTTAGACTGGCCATGACATCATAGCAGCTAGTTTTCTGTTGAGAGACCCAGCCTAACGAATCTAGATAGGTGCCAGTGAACCACTATCAAGCTTTAGCTTGAGAGATTTGAGAGTAAATGCTCAATAAAATGGGTTCACCCCTTTGCTTTCTTGCACTTCGATGGCAAATGTTTTATGACAATACCTCTAGGCAGTTTCTTGACATGTATAAACTTTGATAGCTATGTCTGTGTATGTTTTGCAGGCTTGTATCTATGCATATGTTCAAATTGCCTCTGGAGAATACTAAGTTTTCTTCACAAATTCAAGCAGCAGCCGCTGCCTTACGGAAGATCCTTTGCACTGGGCATGTCCGTTTCTCTCTAAGCACTGATTGGCCTAGTGATTTTGTTGATGCCAGCAATTACATTTTTTGTGTTCTCTGTCAAGAATTATTGTTGTATAATTATATGTATAAGCATTATAATGAAAAGTTGGATTATAAAAATGCACACATATCACACACCATACTTGTGTGTGCTTTATGGTGACATGCACGTTTGTTTCATAAGTAGCTTTCCTCTGTTTGATTGCTACCCCTCAAAATTCTTGAGAAGGGGAACACACGCACTTGGGAAATAGAGTTCCTTAACGCTTCCCTTGCAATTAAATATGGCTTGTACTTTTAATTATGCATACATATTTTTGGTTGCCGACAGGATAATGGTCGACTTTTAACACAGCCAAGTAGTATTGTTGTAAGTGAAGGGATTATGAATGAAGATATATACAATTATACATATAGATATGTGCGTGTATGTGTATAAAGCAAAGTATAATCTAGAATGAAAAAGATTTGCTGGGGTTGGGGCTGTAAGAGCATTATGTCGTAGTACATTAGTTGGTTGTGACATCCAGTGTGGGCAAGTTTTTACCGTAGGATAATCCCCTTGAGAGATTTATACAGACTAATTAGTTGTATCAAATTGTCAAACGCTAGAGTCCTACACTAACTGGTCTAGATAGTCATTGAATGGACGATTGAGTGCCATTAATTTTGAATTAACAGATTGTAACAGGATATCCTTACATACAAAAACATGCTTCGACAAAGAAACAGTCGGCAGGACTAATATATAAATACAATGAGTGCCTGGAGTGTTCTTAGCTTAAAGAAAATAAAAGACATGTTTAAACATGACTACTTTTTAAGGATGTCGATTTGTATAGAGTTACATAGAATGAAAATATTTCTAGATTTTAGACTTCAGATTGACCCTCCAAACAGATGTAGAACTAAATAACAAGCTATAGAGGAAATTTTTCCAAATAAATAACACGTCAAATATGCCAAATGGTGAAAATTCACATTATGGATTTCAAACATAAGAAAAATTAAAATAACAGTGAGAACCATCGCTCTGAGGTCAGAAAGCTCCCACTTTTGACAACAATGATCCGGCCTTTGGTTCACAGAAAGCTAGGATTAGACTACTCTGAGCGTAGAAAATCTGAGAACCTGCTGTGATCGTTCATTCAGTGAGGTTAGACCCGAATATGCATTGAGCCTAAAGCATATAAGCCAAGGCAGACAGAACAAAATTGATTTGACTCAGCAGAAGAGCATCACACTTAGAAGGTAGGAGTTGAAAATCACTCAGAATCCAGCTTCTGTTTCTTTTCTTCAGGCTGGTCTGTCACATTTTTCAACTTAGCTTCTCTACGCTCCCTTTTAACTCCTTTTGCTTTGTGAGGCAGTGCCACACTTCCAACCTACAGAAAGGAATAATTTTTCACTGGTAAACAGAGTCATAGAATTTTATAATTTTTTTCCAACCATGTACTGTATTCTTACCTTCTGATCAGGAATGTAAATCTTCCCGTATTTTCCTTGAATGGCATCTTTGACAACATTTTTCTCCTGAAAATGACAGCCAGTAACAACATCAGTATTTTCCAGACTCCAAGTTAGTCAAATAAAGATGAGAAGAAGTGACTAAGCCAATCAAACCTTCTTCTTTGCTTTATCAAGAGAAGTTCTCATAGCTTCTTTCTTCAAACTGTCATCAGGGAGACGATGTCGCCGAACTACTAAGTCCATGGACGGGCCAACCTCCACTAATTCTATTCTTGGAACTACTGTGCCAGATTTTTTTAACCGCAGTGCACAATGGGTCAAGAAAACCTTTTTTGGCGACACAGCTGTACATACATATACACGATCTAACCCAGCAAGGTTCAAGTTGGTCACAACCTGCATTATTGAACCCACAGGCATTAATGGTACTCTTCCAATTCAAAGAAGCAAAGCGTATAAGTTTATCGAGAAAAGAACAAACCTCGCCATGGAATAGATCAAGCAAAACTTCTTTTAAATGTTTCAACTCTTCAACACTCTCAAATCCTTCTCCAATAAAGGTAAAAAAGGGCTTTGACCCTATTTTAGGAGCCAAATTCTTATCATATTTGAATGACTTCATGCTTTTGAACTCTTCCACTCCTACCTCTACAAGATCGTAAACATGGTGATCATAGGTTCGCCCAATAACAAGATTGTTAGGCCGCTTCTTGGAGTGAGAACCATACTGCAAAATAACCAAAGACTGTAAGTGGGTATGGAAAACAAAAGATAAAGCAACAAGCAAAAAGTCCTGAACATAAAAACAGAACTATTCCTGATAAAGCGATAAACTAGAACAGTTCAACAGTTTATACAAAGATAGCCTTTCGTTCAAATCAAGGTTTTCATGAGTTGAAAAACACTCATCTCACTCCGAGTATCTAAATTAACAGTAGGTGTCATTCCTCCTCTGCATGAAGAGTTGAAATCTATTATCGATTATAATAATGTAATAGACACTTTAACCAGAGCAATACTACTTGGAAGAGTTGGAACTATGCTATGTATAACATGAGACATCACGTCACGTGGAACCAATAGCATCGAATGTTTTAACCTTGGTCTTGACCAAGAATTACTCATCAAATCATAGAATTTATTCGACTACATACAATAACTACGCCTCAGTCCCAAACAAGTTGGAATCGGCGATGTGAATCCTTATTCCTTTCATTAAGCTCAACTCATATCATCATCATTACCAAAACAAAATAAAAGTGCAAGTAAATAGATATATATAATGGCTATCTTATAGTGCAAATGCTGTCATTTTTAATCTTATTTAATATTGTGCTACCGCACATCCATATTAGCATTCGCACTTCTACAACAATCATCTAGTGGATATGTTGAACTTTAGCAACCTAACATTCACTAGCATATAACATAACTGGTTTTATAGTTGTTCTATAGAACTTACCTTTCACCATGGTAGGAATACTTCTATCACATAACACCCGGTAGCACTTCTCTGTTTCAACTATCCGGTTCTAATCCTATGAGTAACATCTTCATCTATCACTTCATTCTCCTGAAACGAGCCTGGATATCTAAATTGTTTGCATTTTGGCACCGCAATTCCATCTAGTCAACTTCGCTCTTCTCGTACTGACTAAACTTGCCGTGCATGTATTCAGTCTTACTTCTACATATCTTAGAACCCTTCTCTAAGGTGCTTCTCCATAGCTCAAGCTTTTTGTTGACACCCTGGCTAGTTTCGTAATTTAGTACAATATCATCAGCTTATAGCATACACTATGGAACCTTTGTGTTGCGTTGGTTAGCTCATTCGTAACTACGGTAAATAAGTAGGGGGCTTAATGCAGAAGCCTTGGTGAAGGAAACTTTTTTGGATCTCCTACTACTGTTTTCACACTAGTGACAACTCCTTTCTACATGTCCTTTATAACATTAATATATTTTACTATAAATATAATTTATAGACCAATTACTATCAAGAGCCACAGATCAACTATAAATATCTCGAGGGACCAAAAATTGAACACAAAATACATCTTCAGTTAGGGTGCTCCAAAGCTACAAAATACAGATTCTAGATGCTCTAGTTCTAAATGTGCTCTCCCTCATGCTATAAAAGAAACCCTGATAACCAAGCAACATGATACCAGAAGACTATTGTTATAAAGTTTACCATTCAGAAATAACCCCTCTCACCATATCTATTAGCACTAAAATTAGTTAATTATGGTAGCAAAATGAGGGATATACAGACAACCAAATACCGAGTTCAAATTTTTATTTATTCCGTGTCTCAGCAAATCAAGGAACCATGGCGAAACCAGGATTTGAAACTTATGGGTTCAGGATTCTAGTCCTTTTAAGTTACTAGGTTCAAAATTAATAATTTGAACATATTCAATGAATTCCCTAAGAGAAATATAGAGTTTGGACAAAAGTTACTGAGTTTCGCGAACCCGTAACTCAAAGGCTAGCTCCGCCCCTGCAAGCAACTAACAATAATACAGATCTTTTCTAATTGAAATAATCAAACAGTTGAAGATCAAAAGTGGACTCTTCAACAGTGTTACAAGTAGCTAAAAGGACTTCGGCAGATAATGTACCCATTTTTGTTATGAATATGCAAGCTACCCATTAAGCATTATGCGCTTAGTCTCTGTTCCTTATCCCCTAGAAGCCAGAAGCTTAACCTGATCTAAATAATGCACTTCCATGTCAAAATGAACTTCCTTTAGTCTGGGTTAGGGGGAGATTTTCAGAATGACGTAACAAATTCTCAACATTGCACCTATGTTTCTTCTTCTGTATTTCATTGAGTATATATCTTTTAGCACAAATAACTCTTTATTCATGAAAAAAGATATGTACTCATTTGCTAAATATTTGGAGATGATTCATTTATGTCTACCTTCAGAACAAGCCTCAGCAAACAACATAATAATCAGGGAGCCACAGAAATAAATCCAAATTAACATGGAACAAGTTATATATCAGCACTTTTCTACCCACTGAACCAAAAAATGCCTCAAAAAGGAAAAGGGCATGTACCCACTTACCACAAAAAGGCTGCAATCTGTCTTAAGAGAGAAAAACTCCAAAGAAGCCTCGCCCCCGCTCTCAAATGGTCTAACGTTATCATTCTTCCGGGTATATTTAACAGAATTATCCCTCTTCAAATGATAAATTTCAGTCATCACCTCATTCAACACTTGGCTTGTTTTTGTACCATGTAATATCAATGTCTTTTTCCCAGTTTCAACCTGCCCCCAAATAAATAAAAAAAGATTGTCATCACAATAACAATCCCATCTTGCAAAAAAAAAAAGAGAGTTGTTTGCTAAGATCAAACTCACCAGTTTGGGAGCACGTTTTTCAAGCTCCCTTCTGATTCTTCCTTTCTGTGGGGTTTTAATTTTCCATGGGGTTTTACTTCTCATCATCCTAACCTAAAAATAAATTGAAAACTAAACTAATATTATTGTGGTTAAAGCAATTTTCAACTATCATAACAACTACTACAATGGCTTAATCACAAATTAGCTGGAACCCTAGAAACAAAAAATAGCAAGAGAACAGTATGAATTTAAGCTTTCACTTACCAATAGAGGAACAGAGAAGATATGAAGAATTGGTGAAGGGAAGATACGAAGAAGAAAGGGAAGATACAACTATGCCTATTCAAATATTAGGGTTATTAGCAGGGGTGGGCATCCGGTACTTCAGTTCGGTATTTAAGAATTTCGGTTCGGTATTCGGTTTATCAATTGTGTATACCAAATACCGTACCAAAGTATTTCGGTACGGTACGGTATTTCTTATTTTGGTTCGGTATGGTTTCGGTACGATTTAATACATATTCATGTGCCACGTACTGCTAAGCGCTGAGAGCATAAGCATTAACCAAGCAGAAACAACCACTAACGAGTAACGAGTAAACAATCAGCCATTCCCCATTCTGCCTAACTAAATAAACAATCTGCTATTCTGCCTAACAAATAAACAATCTGCCATGTGTTAATCTAAACATAAGTGGAACTGTAATACAATGCAACAAAAACAGAATTCCAGTAGCAACCATAAGTGGATTTGAGACAGTTGCTTAAACACAGTGCATTTGAGACAGTTGCTTAAACACAGTGCAACAAAAATAGAAGTCCAGTAGCAACCACTAACGAGTAGCCCTTCAACATTATTACATCAACATTATTACAACAAGCCCTTCAACATTATTACATCAAAATGTTTTCTTTTCTCCCTGATTTTAATAAGATTTGTGATATGGTGGTATGGAAATAACAAGTTGTATAATAGGATCGTATATCACTAACGGATACTGATCCGAAATTCAGTAAAACCGAACTTTTGATTACATTCACTGCTTTTTAAATTGTGTCAAAGGACGTGTCACTGATTATGAATTAAATATACATTTGTCAAAATATCTTTAACCATATACATAATTAAGATGAAAAATAAATGTTGATGGCATATATCATCTTTGTGTCTGGTCACAACCACCTTCTTTTTAACTTCTTATGCACAAACAAAATATATTATTATATACAAAACAGCCTAAGGATGAGGTTGGCTTAGACATAATCATGATTTAAAGGTATGAATTGCAATCTATAATGCCTAAATTAAAGTGGCGAGTAAACATATTCCTGTTAATTAGGTTAGTAAAATTTTCTTCAACTGAACACAACTGAATGAAGAATGGAGAAGTTATCAACCTGAATGAAGTTGCGGCGCCGAGGTTGTAGTCGTGAGTTGTAACTCGTGAATCCGACCGCCGTAGCTACCAAGCAAAGTCGTGAGGGTTTTTTAAAATTCTTGTCGAGACTAAGCCTCTAAGCCTAAGGGTACGCGATTATGGAATTAGGGGTTTTGGACTTTTGGGGTACGAGCTTAAGGTTATTGGGCTAAAAAATAAAAATAAAATTGGGCTATTTCATTATTTCGGTGTATACTGAAATATTAATAACCCAATACCGTATACCGTATCGAATTACCAAAATATCATAATTTCTGTATCGAAATAAACCGAAATATCAAAAAAATCGAAACCGAAATACCAAATTAATTCAATTCAATTCGGAATTCGTTTTTATGCCCACCCCTGGTTATTAGGGTTTTAGAATCGTTTAGGGGTTTTGGGCGGGTGTTATTCGCCTGGTTTCAATTGTGGGCCTAGTAGTGAAAATGCCCAGGCCCAAGTTGACTGAACTACTTACTAATCCAAGGGAAAATCAGAAGGAATTTTTATATTCCTATGCCATATAGGAAACTATATTACCTTCAATGCCTAAGGTTTGATATAATTACATTTAGTATACATAATTACCAATTATATACCATTAGTGATTTTTAAGGGTATTAATTACACTCCTAATTTAATGGTACCGTATATTCCTTCTA